AGATACCATGGACTCGTAGCAATACTTGCAGCAAAGAATTCAGCAGCAACTGATAGGTAAATTTTTTTTTGCCTAAAATGTTCATCAACAAATTAGTACAAATCACAGTCTGTTCACAGACAGTTTTTGAATAGTGTAAAGATAAAGTTCAATGGATACATAATTTCTTATTAACTGTTTGCTGAGCACTAGTGCTAGCCCCTTCTGAGCAGTCAATTATCATGACAAATTATTAGCTAACAGATTTATTCAAGCTGTGGTTGTCTATTTGAAATAGACGTCATGCCATGAACTTGATTTTGCTGTGGATGCAGCCTACTGAGCTGAGTGACATTTAGTGCCTCTGAGCTTGTCTGGAAATTAATATTCTCTGATATAAGCAGTCAGTGATTGAAGTATCGTTTCATCCTGACTCACTCAACTCTTTTGTTAATTGATTACCATCGTCTGCTTATAGTACTTACAGTGCCAAATAGACTCCCATATAGTCTCTCTGTCCATGGTCTGCTTAATATACTGTGATAGATAGGATTGGATGAACAGTCTTTTTGAATGACAATGGCCGTGATGGTCCTACCAATGGAATAATTTGCCAGAGGAGGTTAACGGAAAGATTAATCTCCAGGAGGTTTTTGCTGTGGAGATTTGTCCCTGATCTTTCTGTCAGGGGGCAAGGTTTGCCCATTCCGTGTAAAGGCTGTGGATCCCACTGCCCACATCCTGCACATACCCCACAGTCTGTGTGGAGTGGCTGGGATATCTGTTTGGAGATATCGCAGTACCAGGTCTGTGTTCCTAGTCCCTTGCTCCCCTCTAGAATCATGGCTTCGAGAGGAATTATTAAACCTCTTTCTGTGCAGGAACGTTGTGATCAGTGCATGTTCTTCCCTCATGGATCAAGGGTCATGGTCAGTCCCAAAGATATTAAAGTATGTTCTAACATTATTTTGTTCACATGTAACAGTAGAGATTTTTTTCTACAGTACCAATACCTCTATCTGTCAGCATATCTAGACCTTTACTATGAGAATAAAACTCTATTTGATAATATTTAGGACTTCTGCTAAAGGTTTCTGCCATATTATGGAGACTTTCCATTTGTGCTGTTGAATTTGGAGAACAATTTGAATTTCAATTCTGATGTATTAAATGACCCTGTTACTTAGTTTTTAAAAAGTATTCCTTTTGAGACAGCAATATGAGAAAGAAATTCAGGCAATCAATAGTAATTCACATAAAAATGAGCACTGATGGTACAACCAGAAGGAAGCAGCATCTTTCTTGCATGGTTATTTCCCAGTTAGAACCAGACTCTGACACCTTTACTCTCAATGAATAGTGCTTTATTCCCCAAATGGTCCCATTGACTGCAGTGGGCCCCTCATGAAACAAAGTCCTACTTAAAATGAGTTAGGGTATCAAAATCTGGCCCATAGTTACTAATAGCTGTTGCTGTTATCTATTTGTATTTCTGAGACAAGGTGGGGGAGGCAATATCTTTTATTGGACCAACTTCTGCTGGTGAAAGAGACAAGCTTTCATGCTTACACAGAGCCCTTCTTCACCTTCTTGACTTGAAGAAGAGCTCTGTGTTGCTGGAAAGCCTGTCTTGTTCACCAACAGAAGTGGGTCCAATAAAAGATATTATTACCTCACCCACCTTGTCTCTCTAATATTCTGGGAACAACATGGCTACAACAACACTACAAAGAAAATTTGTGTTTCTGACACCATATGAAGTTACTTTGTTCTCATGTAGAAATATGGCAATGTTACCTTGATTTACCATGCAGTAACCATTGTTCTCAAAAGAGCTGCTCCTCACATGTCATTGGCACAAGAATTAATTGTATTTTGTGGTAATTCAATGAACAGAAGCTTCACTTCTCACTATACTAACTTTTGTTTTTTAAATATTACATTTGTGAGGATTTGTGAGGGGTATTGCTCCTAGAGCAATTTGCAGTTTATCTCAGACACTGACATTGTGGTATAATTCCTAAAGAAAGGCTGGGTTTACCTGTAACGGTTTAATACAAATATCCATCCACATTCACATCAGTATGACTAGGTGAATGTTTGGAAAAAAACATTCAGAAACATTGCTTTACAACCTGCTTTGATTGTGTTCGTGTCTTTTTTTGTGTTTGTGTTCCCCAGACATTCTAGCAAATGAGGTTGATTGAGGGAATGTTTGTGGGAACAGCAACTGCATGTGAATGTTGGTGAATATTTGCAGAAAGAGAACTTTGCATTTGTAAATGTGAGAACTTGTACCAAATCTGGATTCTAAGAGTTGTGTCATGCAGTCATGAAGCAAAAAGATACCAGGTAATCTGTGTGTTCAGTCAGCATGAATAAAGCTTAAGTTTTGAATTTGGAATATCAAATACTTGCAATGAACAACCACATGTCCTCATGAACAACCACAGTGGAGATTCTAGTGGTTCCTACAGGTTCCATTTGGCAATTAGGTTTTGAAACAGTAGCCCATTTCTCTGGTACTTGGGACTCCTAGTCATTAAGTGGAAATGAACAGAGACCAGTAGAAACCGATAAAGACCAGTTGTAGCAAATGGACAGCAGTTAAAGAATCCTAATGGAACTTACAGAATTTCCATTAGAGAGTCTGCAGAACAAGAATTTTTCACAAGAATTGGGGTGAAATTCCCCCATGATTCAGGGGGCCCTCTGCATGACTTAAGTCCTAGCTGCTGTGAAGGTTCAGTGTGCATGGACTAGCTGAACTGGGGAGTCTGAACAATAGAGCTGGTTGAAAACTTTTTGACCAAACACTTTTTGACCAAAAGGGTTTTTTTGACTGAAGAGCAATTTTCATGAGCAAATTTCCATTTGTGTTTACATTTGGGTAGGTTTTGTGGGGAAACAAAAGCTGTTTTATTGTTTTGTTTTTTTCCAGTTTTCAACAGCTGAGAACCAAGAATGTTTCAATTTTCAGTTTAACAGAAACCAAAAATATTTTGGCTTTAGTTTTTTGGAAAAAACCTGGAAAACTCAGCCAAAAACACTTTCATAGAAATGAAATACATTTTTGACCATCTGTACTGCCCACCCTTTATGTGTACCAGAGATGATCTCCATGACAGCCTCACACAGGCTGGTGTGGAAGATTGTGATGGAGGTGGGCTAGGGCAGGGACTATGTAGTTTACATGGATCCAGTGACCCCAACACTCAGAGTAACTGGTATTGAAGAGTTCCCATTGCTTTTCCAGCAGGAGGAGGGAGAAAAAAAGGTGGCTGGGCAGCAGTCTTCCTCTTTCAGCTATAGGCAAACATGTTTTTTTTCTCAACTCTTTACACCCCATGAGAATTTTATTTTTTTTCCAATTAGTCAGAAAAAAGGCACACTATTATTCCATTCTTTGCGTGCTTACATATTGCACAACAGACACGCTTTGAGACCAAATATACTTTAAGAAGTTAACACATTTGGAAATAGATTAACTGATCTCAATTGGTATGTTGGAGGTAGAATTAACAAGTGAAATAGCTTCAAAATAGATCTGGTAAAAAAGCAATTTTTTTAATTTTTTGACAAAAGAACAAATTGTTCATAAAAAAGATTTGTGAGTCCCCCCCCCTCCCCATTTTCCATTTTCTGGTTAAAAGGATTTGAAAAAGGTGTTTATTCTAAACACATTTTGGGGGAACAGAGCCTTTGTGTTTTGTACTGCAGACTTGTGGCTTTCATAATCTGTGATATGCATCATGGTAATGTAAAATAATTCTGTATCATTCTTCATGCTATATAGCATTTTTTTCTTTTATACCATGTCAGTTGCAAAAATAAGTAAATAAATCCTCCACAAACAACCCCATCCCACCCTCACAATTTTGAAACTGGTACTATTAGTAAAAATCACAGATTTCACGAAAAACTTGCTTTCAAGAGAATCAGTTTTTGACCAGAGGCAGCAATACTATTTCAGTCAATATCTAAATTTTTTGCAAAGTATCCGTTGCAGTTTTTTTAGCCATGCAATATATTTCCCATTTAAAGTAATAGACCAGGAGAGAATCTAATAATGTATGTACCTCTCAGTAACAGGAGAGTTCATGCTTAATGTTGTAGTTGGCATTCTCAGGGAAACTATCATGCTGGATACCAGATGTCATGCCTGACCACTTTGCTGCTGCTTTTTTTGAGCTGCTGTATGCCCAGACAAGCCTTCCTTCAGTGGAAATGTGCTCCTGTTATTGTAGGTAATGAAGTTGGCAGATCCAGGAAAGCCACCTCCCTTCCATCCCTGCTTCTACAGTGGCCTCTATTACAGGCAGCCAGAGGAGCAGCTCACACATATAGGAGTGCAGGCTGAGGCAGCAGCCCACATACAGTCCTAAGTATCTCTCCTCTTATCCTGCAGTATTCACATAAGCCTTGAGAGCCTGCCCCCAAAGGAGGAACCCATAGACAGGTGACAGAAAGCAGCATGTAGCTTTCTGCTACAGATAGGGAGAGCTACAAAACATGAGAGGAAAATAACACCCAAAATTAGAGAGTGAAAAAATACATAAAAAAGAAAATGATTGGGAGGAAGAAAAGGTAGAAAATGGCAGGAGAGAGAAAATGGGGAAGACAATTGATGGTGGCAACAAAGACTGGCAGAAGAGGATATAGGCTGATAGCGCTGATTTGCTAGCATGCCCCGTGTGTATGTGTGTGTGTGTGTGTGTGTGTGTGCATCTACCAGCCAAAAGTCGGGGACCCGCTGTCATGTGTTTGATAAAATTTTAAATTGACCCATGTTTACAACTGTGATTAAAGTTCAATATATTTTATAAAAAATAGTACTTAGTTTACTTTCAAGGAAGTGAAGAGATACAATTGCACAATGGTTGTTACAATGGTAGAAATACATATTGTCGATTAAACTGCAAGTGAGTTCAAAACATACTGTACAGCACCGCATCAGAAATTGTGTGATGGCAAAATGAATCATATACATTTTTTTCAAAGTAAATCAAATCCCTAAAATCTTTCTCTTGGAATAAATAAGAATAATGTGCATTATGCTTCAGATTGCTACCAAAATATTTCCTGATTTTGAGCAATAGACAGATTAAAAAAAGACATAAGGTAAAAAAAGACATTCATGCATTTAAGCCACCATTAGTCTCTGACTCTAATATAAGGCAGATCATAATCTTTTTAAAACTGTCTTTAGCCACTTAAACCCTCTTTAGTGCTTTTCATGACAAGGTCATGGCAGGCCTTGTTTTTTCAAGAGTTAGGATGCTTGTATTTCCAACAGGTCATTTTTGACAGGCTCAGCCATATTTGGAACACATTGCACAGTAGAAAATGCTTTCATTTTTTAATGAAAAAGAACTTAAATAAAAAGAAATCCAGAAGGATGTTTTAGAGTTTATCACAAATGACACTTTTGAAGTGTGCGTGGAGGAGGGGGAGAGACAAGTTTATGTGTCATCTTCAGTCTTAATAATGTGGAAAAGGGTGACATTGAACAGGACCTGATGTCCATTATTCCAGGCATAGAGAGCTCTATCTCTTGCATTGTAGTCAAGCATGGATATATGAAAGTACTGATTATGGAACGGAATGTCTGTATACTCATAAGTGGAGGTTTTCGTGGAATAAGAATAGTAGACCTTGGCTCCTGTTAAATGTGAGTTGGTAACATACAAAGTTCCACAGATCATGAAGGATTCCCCAGCACTTCTCTTTGGATAGCCTGTACTCCAGCTCTTCATCACTTCTAACGTATCCTGGTTTAGCTGGCTGATAACAATGTTGCCTGCATTCTGATTGGTAGCATATACGGCCCACAGCCCAATTTCATCTGCCATCAGGTCAATATCTGAGAAGCCGCCCCAAGTGTAGGGGTACACATTGTGAAAGCCAGCATATTCCAGGCTACGCTGTGCAAGCACCCGTCCTGTGTCAAAGCTGTATTTGATGATTATGTTACTCTGATACTTGTTGAAATAGAGGGAGCCATTGTAGACAACATGATTGGTTCCTGCCCATTTGAATGGAAGATTGTATGTTCTTGATTCAGCCCCACTGACAAAGTCTGTGATTGATTTGTATTCACGGACAATTTTATTGTTAGTATAACTGTCCATGTACCAGACCTGAAAGAAAAATAAAGAATAGGCTGTGAACTACTGAAATAGAATCCTTGGCTGATCATGCTGTATTCTGAGTACATTTTAAAATATGTTCCAGAAATCCTGTGGCATTATAAGTTACTAGACTTGCTCATAAAACCTACAAAAGTGAAGGATGTGTCTGTATATTTATTCTGTTGCAAAGACATTAGTAACACTAGCATTTTGGATCAGAACCTACTCAATAGCCTCTCTGAGGCTGCTTTCACAACAATGTCTGCCACGGTCAGAGAAGTTTGCTTTGAGAGTGTTCTCATAGCTTGGCCCTCTGGCTCAAGGGGTCATTAGTATTGTTAATGATGTGCCCAGATTGTGAAAATCCCAAAGATGGAAGGAAAGTTGAGTGTGACTCGAACCTTTGAGTCACACCCAGAATTAGAACTGGTTGGAATTTTTCAGTTGAAACTTTACTTGTTGAAAAATGGCATATTTTCAGGAATGAGAATTTTCCATGAAAATGTGTTTTCTGGGGTTTTTTTTGTATCTTACTGATTTTTCCACTTTTTGGTTCCCCATCACCTTTCTCTCCCATTTTATCTTCCACATTTATTACTTTATTTCACTCCCCACCTTTTCCCCCTTTTGCCCCTGATAAGGGGGGAGGGAAGAGAAAGTAAAAGAAATAAAAAAAAAAATAAAAACAAACAAAAATTTTCTTTTTGCTGAAAATTTGGAAAACTCCCCCCAAAATGAAATTTTGTTGATAATTTTTGTGACACATACTTACCTTATTTCAACTAGCTTTGACTGAAATCAAGCATACCCAAGTGCATTGATTTTTTAGTATTGGCCTTATCAGGTAAAGACCTGGATAAACCACATTGAGGGCCTAACTCTGCAAGCATGTGTTAGTTTACGCATGTAGGAAGCTCATTGACATCAGTGAGATTACCCACATGAGTAAAGTTACTCATGAATAACTGTTTACAGGATTGGGTCCTTAGAAGATGTCCACTGAAGAAACTATAATGAAAAGAAAGAAAATAATGTGTATTTGTATACAGAATATAGACTAGTATGCATCCTCCCCAAAACAAGCAGTTTAAAACTAATGAAAATATGCAATATGGTTGACTTATTTTTTTAAGGAGGATGGTTTAACCTTTTTTTCCCTAAAGTACTTCAAAATATAGAATATGAAAATGCAGGGAATACAAGAAATAAATGCTACGTGGTAAAATCTCATGTAGGGAAATTATCCCCTTGTAAAAATTAAAAATGCAAATAAAATATCAGAACAGAAAGATATTCAATGCCGCAACATACTCGGTTATTCTTTTCTGATGCTAAAGGATCTGTCATCCAGGCTCCAAATCGGGTTCCAGAGGTCTTGACTGTAATGGGGCCTGTAATTTTCATCAATTTGCCACATGCTGAAATTAGAAAAACAAATGTACTCTTATGAAAGCCGCAAACAATTTAAACATAACCTGACCATATTCTGACTGATGTCAAAGAGTTGTCTAGAGAACAAGACTAATTGCTATAAACCACAGAATGATTTCAGGGTGTACGGAGGCCGGTTGAAAATAGCTCTTCATCCTCAGCGTATGAACACTGGTAGTTTACATTTTCTCCATTGAAAAGGGAGACAGGGATCTTTTAGAAAAGTTATAAAAATGTTTCAGAATCTTTATTATCTTTTGGGTTCAAACAAAATAAGATAAAATATATTAAAATATCTCCCCCACCAGACTGAGAAAAGCCAGAAGCTAGTGTTGCCTCCAAATGGATTTGAGAAATCTATCCCTTCCTTAACAACTTGACACGTCAGAAGGAGAAAAGGGAAATTAAAAAATTCTAATGCAGATTCCAGTATTGCATAATCCAAATACTAATAAATTAAAAGATTTTGAATTCTTTCTTCAAAATTATATTCAATTTACATCTCAGTGAGGATTACAAAAGAAGCTATGTTTGAGCTCCTGCAGTCTTGGAATGAATTGTCTAAGTACTAACAGCTCTATCCTGCAAACGTTACTGGTATTAATGCCTACTAATGTGAGTTAATCCCATTGTTATCAGTCTCCCCAATACCTTGTGCAACTCAAGATTCAGGCAAGTGGAGTGGATTTCATTCTTAGAGAACTGAAAATGGCAGATCTAAAATCCCATCCACATGCCCCAACATCCCTGATTCATCCCAGCTGTCAGTTTATACGACAATTCACAGTTCATTATTTTCTCATTTCTCCCCACACAATCAACTCAACTCCATAGCAGCATCTGGAATAATAATCCAAGTTATAATATAATTAACTCCAATATACCATAGATAACAGTTACAGAGATAGACTCGAATGTGTAAAACCACCATAGGTTTACGAGCAAAGTAATCAGCAAAAAACGCCATAAATGAAGAAAGTAAATATGAGAATTATTCTGGAACTGTCACCACATCAATGGACATCTAATCCACCATGCTGTCCCTTGTTAGACTGTCTGGGAGGAAATAATGAGAGTCAATTTGATCTTGAGTGCTGACCTTCCTAATAATCCAAAAATCTATATTTTAGGGGACATTAATAACATGCCTATTACCAACAAAGCTCACAGGGAATTTATTCTAAATTTATATCGCCAAAAGACTTACTATCACAGAATGGTGTAGATGAATAAGTGACCCTGCAAGTTTGGGAAAAAATGATATTCGAGCTGAATGTAAATATTGAAACATTTCATGATTTTTTTTAAAAAAAGTATTTTAGATATATATAATTCATTCTGATATAACTGCTATTGCACATGACCCAATCTAGCCAGAAAAGGTAAGAGACAAATAGAATATATCACTTTAAAAGCTAAGGTATATCATTCAAAGGAGCAGGTCACATCATGATTTCATTTTGGAATTTATGTAACAGACAAAGAATGCACTGTATTGTATGTTCCTAATTTCAGCCAGTTATAATGCGGCTATTGCTCAGGTAGTATCTGAGTTATCACCAAAAGGAATTCAATCCCAGGCTAGTGAAATGGGTATAACAAAAATTAACATAATCTAAGTACGTACTGAGGATTTCATGAACAGCACAGGTTGTGTTTTTACTGTTAAGGCCCTCTTCTTAAAAGAGAGCTAATTTATTAGTTAGCTGTTAATGTTGATCCACACAAGCAAGCATCTGTGTATCTCAAACTCAAGTTGCAGGATCTTGTGAAGACATACTGGGATTAAACATGTAGGAGACACAACTTTTTATAATTCTGTTCTCTCCCCTCCCCTCCAGTTGCTTATAGTATCTAATTAACTATCTCTTCAGGGATTTTTTTTACAAAACTGCTACCAGTGTCACACATAGCCTGAATGCTACCATTCTGGTATGCTTTGCAAATCTCCATTGTGGGGAGTTGACTAATATATCCCTGTCAGGCCAAGTTTTACCCTCATTCCAAATGGTTTCTGACTTCTCCACATATATATTCTTCACAAATTGAGTTTGCTGACATGCCATTTTAAAAGTACTAAAACAATTATGATTTGAGAATCAAATTAGCGGAAAACATACAGTGCACTGAAAGAAATTAGAATGAAATTAATCACCACAACTAATTTACATTTACTTGCTCTTTTTTTAACTAATGGAAAAATACAAACTGAATAATGTAAGAATTTGCTGGATACATAATTAGTATCATTCAAGTATTGTGTTAAAATTAGAATTAAAATACACACTTTCCATTTTAGAAAAATTTAGAGTCCTAAAACAAAGGATATTTTTAGAAGAAAATGGAAAATTTAATTCAGAAAGATACAGAAGTAGAAAAAACTATCCCTGAAATTTAGCTCTAGAATTTACAAAATAACGGTTGGATAATTATCTTTCAAAACCCATGGTGGGCTAATCAAAGAAGAAGAAGAGGGATGAATTTAAAAAGAGACAAAACTCTGGTTTCATATAATCCAATGGGGACAGCCCCTCAAAAAAGAACATCTTGCCTCCACTTTCTCCTCTCTCTCTGTTGCAGTTCCCGGCTTTCCCTTTCCTTTTTATTGGTAACAGAAGCCCCAAAGCTTATCTCTCTGTGCATGGGGAGCTTGATGAATCATTTTGTTCTATTTAGAACTAACTAAGGCTATCACATCTTATACCCACCACAGCCCATCTCCACTTTAAAGTTAACTTTTGATCTAGTTCCGCAGTTTCTGGTATGGCCCCCAGTGGTGCATTGTGGGTCTGTTGGCTTCCTAACGTAACTGCTCTCATACTAGTGCACAGTGTAGACTGGACTATTCCCCTCTGTGATTTGGAGGGAGACAGGAGGAGCAATCAACGCCCACCTCCAATGACTAATGTCCCCAATCCTCCTACATCCCTTAGAACAAGCTCTCTCAGCACAACCTCTTCCCAGCTGAGACTTTCACTCATGGAGTGCGGTGATATGTGCCTTCAGTCCTGCCCTCCTTTCAAATCTCAACAGATTCCCCCACAGTTGCATGTATGCATGCATCCCTCATTTGTGGCAACACTTAAAAAGGTATCCTCAGTTTTCATTTGAAAAGTCTGATCACTTTTATCAACAAGATTACTTTGTGTGTGGGAGGTGGTGGTACAGAGTGATAGTGGGCCGGGGAAAAGAGAAAATAAAACTCCCATTTTTGCATAATGCTGATGCAGGCAAAGGGCAGTCAGAATTTTGTTCAAGCACAACATCAGTATCCAATGTACACCACTGAGTAATTTGAATTCAGAAGGAATTGTTCAGAATGACAACAGAGGCCCCAAAGCACATCTCAACTATTTAGAACTACTTAGGGCCACTGCGTATAACCTTCATGGTTGGAAATTACTCTGACAGTGCCACAAATCAGCTGGCCTGCTAAGTACTGACCATGGGAACAGAGTGAGGCTCTGGCTGACTGATTGGGCAGAGACAAATTGTGAGACCAGAGGAGGAAACTAATTGAGGAAATATAGGTCCCACCTCCTCATTTCACTTCCATGAATCACACAAACACCTAAATCATGTGCAATGCCTTTTCGACCAATGGCACATCAGAAGAAAAGAGAATCTGATTAACAGAATTTAAAACAATGAAAAAGTAAGCTGCCCCTCTTCTCTGGGAAATATTGTACCTAGATATCATCATTTTCTCCATGTCTGTTTTGTGGAATCTGATCCTGCAAACACATTTGCATACATGTAACAATGGAGCTGTGCAGATTTTGCAGGATTGGACCTTGAGGCAATCTGTATTTGTGTACATTGTAAAGTGCCAAGCACTATGTGCTAAAACATGGGAAAGGTGCTGCAGAGATGACTGAAATTCCCCGTCTCGAGATGGGGTAGATCAGTGTGTGGATCCCACTGGTCTTCTCTGATTAGAAGTCTAATTGGACCCCATGAAGCCAAAACAGGGGTTTCAGATCCTGTTTTAAGTTAAGTATCAGAGGGGTAGCCGTGTTAGTCTGGATCTGTAAAAAGCAACAGAGAGTCCTGTGGCACCTTTAAGACTAACAGATGTATTGGAGCATAAGCTTTCATGGGTGAATGCCCACTTCGTCGGATGCATGTTTTAAGTTAGAAAGTGACCAGATTAAAAAAGGAAATAAAAAGCTGGTAAAAAAACAACATAAAATGGGGGAAAATGTCATGGCTCTCCTTCCCTTGAAGTGAAAATAAATTAAAAAAGAAAAGCTCTTGGTTCAACTCATTAGATGTTTTCTGGATAGTCAGTTTCTTGTTTCCTTTGGAAACAAGATAGAAAGTGAATTCTCTAAAAACAGACCTGGAAGGCAGACATGCTGGCAGCAGAGTGGCAAAAGAGGAGATGATGGAATTATCCCCTACTATGTCCTTTCGTCAACTCTGAAATGAATGGCGGACATTAGCAAGTACAACTATATTAGACATTCATGTTAATTGTTTTACTGAATCTTGGTGTTAGCTGGAAACACCTTGTTACTATCTTTTAAGTGACTAATAGTAATACCATAATACAGGATTGTTTGCATTACAGATTTATCTAGTGCCTGTGTCTATTTGTGATATAGTTGTGAATTCAGAAATATAGCTGGGAAAGATCAGTGAAGCAAAGAAACAATCTGCCACATGAATTTTCTACAACAGTAGTGGTGGCTAAGAAATGTAAACAGCCCACAGATTATTTTTCAGGGCCAAAAGCTCCTTTTTTTTTGTCAGAAGAAAAGTGTGACAATGTAGAAATATCTCTTGTCATGGCATATAACCTTTTGACTATAGTACACCTCATAAGCAGAAATCCAGATGATAGTGAGAAAGGAAGGTCTTGTGTACTTCCAGCCTAGCAAAGAAGAGAAAATTTTGGAACATTCTTGTGAGAGCCTGTTTGATAGATTTGCAGTCCTTTTTCCAGAACAAAGATATCCAGATAGGTTTAGATAACAGCAGATTTTCAGGATGAGATTTTTCTAGAACACTGAGTATTGGTGTAAATCTGCTTCCACTGGAAAAACTTTAATTGATTTCAGTGGAAGCAGCAAGGCCCATACTGAGCGCATTTGAAAATCCCAATGGTTATCCTAACTGAACAGCCAAGCCTTTTAATGTTTGTCCACTAAATGTGATTGTATAAGAAGTACAGTGCACCATCTCATGAGTGTTTGTGGCCTCATTCCCTTCTTGTTACTCCATGGACTTCAATACAGCTGCTCATGATTTACACTGGTTTAAGAAGATGATCAGGGTACAGGATGAGGAGCATATACTACCCATGAAGGAGTGTAGAAGCAGATGCACTATCCCTGCATGCTAGGGAATCCTGGAAAGCAGAATGTATTCCAGAACTCTCTGTGGGGTGGTGAGACATTGCCAGCACCTACTCTATAAGTCACTAGAACTTGTGGGAGAGGCTGGGAAGACCCAGTGAGCATATGGCTATTTTGAGGTACACATAGGAATGGGTAACCAATGCTAATATAGCCCCACAGTCTCTGTGATGACTAGTGTTTACTCTGAAGATTACAAGTTTTACCATATATCACAAACCAAAACAACCCCACTATAATGATCATATAAGTTGTTTTTTTTTTACGTAAGGTTAATTTTTAGATGCATCGCTGAAAGAAAATGAGCCGAATAAATTTAGTACAAGGACAGAATGGACGTTTTCCTGGTTAATTAATAAATATTTACCTATTGAGCTCTGCTAGTACCTAGTTATGAGGTTTTCCTTTTTCTGTCTCAAACACAGTTAATCTGGCTTTTATATGCAGATTGTTTCAGGTATTTATTTAGATATTAAACACTGACCTGAATTATTATGGGTAAGAAACAGGGTAGAGGGAATTGAGTCCACTCCTCAGTGTGTACACGAGCAGTTTTCAGATGCTTTACTTCTTTTGCATCCTTCCTTAGGATAAAATTTGTTATGGGAATACATTGTAAAATGAAGAGCTAGAGACTGAGCTCACCCTTTACTTAGAGTTTATGTATCTATTATCCTACTTAGCCCCAAACCAGGAAATATGGTGGTCTAGTGGCTAAAGCCTGCCACTGGGAGTTGAAACTCCTGGGTTCTATTTCGAGCTCTGTCACTGACTCCTTGTGTAATCTTTGGTGTCGTCACTTACCTTCTTTGTGTTATGGTTTCCTCATCTATAAAATGGGGATAATAATTCTTACCTCCCTCACAGAACACTGTACAGCTTAGTGTTTGTAAAGCTCCTCAGAATCTACAGGAATGGTGCCATACAAAGAATCACTATTATCAATACAAGAATCCCTTGCTAATGCTACCATCTCTTTTGCGATCAATATGATGGCATTTCTTCGTTGAATATGCTATTACACTTTCCAGGCCCCAAGCAAAAATATCAATATCAAATTTTGCCTTGACCTTGCTGTATAAGAAAGCTAGAAATGAATCTAGCATATATCTAGTCTAATAGCTTCTTTCATGTTTCATAGGCAACTGTTGTCTGAGAGAATATTGATTTACTAGACTGACCATATTATTTTTAAAAATCTGTCACTACTAAATAGCATTAATACACAGTAGCTGATTAAATGAAGGCGATAAATCATAGGAAAGCAGTGTATTACTAGAGTAAAAATTGTCCATATGTACAGCACATTATAGGCAGTACAATAAGGCCTACATTTTCTTGTGTGTATCTGACTTGCATGAGTGCCAGCTGAGGAGTTGCACACACAAATGCATGCAAGCACACACACCCTTTTATATGCAGACAACCAAATTTACGCGCACAAGTCATGAGTATGCTAAACTGCATGCACACTTCTGAAAATATAGGCCAAATTTATCAACTGCTGCAAAGTGACATTTTCCTATTATAAGGAGAAGGAACAAGTTTCACTCACCACAATGGCTTTGGAAATCATTAAATCTCAGTGAAAGTAAAATGACTGCTCACTGTATGTTAATGAATGTTGCAAGGGTTGCCAATGCAGATGGAAGATTACTTTTAAGTGGCTAAAACTGTATAAATAATGCATAATATAACAGTTATATTACTGGAAAACACCTGCTAGGGAAAAGAAGAGGGAAAACAAGTCATTACACATGCTGGTTAGATAGCTATACTGCAAGAATCAACAAAAACTCTGTAATGATTCAAGCCCAGATCCTGGGTGCAGTGTTGCTGTTCTGTCCTACACTGCCATAGGATTCTGGCCCTAAACATGGCATGGACAGCCACAGTTGGGTCACCCCAGTGCAGAGGGATCCTCCAGTGGTGTAGAGCAGGCATAGCCCTTCAGTGCAATGGGCACAACTGGGGTGGTAGCTGGAGTTTCCTTATGCCCCCTGATCCCCAGATACTGTATTGGCCTCTTGGGGCTATATACAGCAAGAGTAACTTTAAGCTGATTTCAGGCTGCTCTAACTTGCAGGTGGGGACTTGCCAGGAACACAGTCAGTCCAGGATTAGGGGAGCACAAAAGCCACCTGACCTGTGCTATGCTTTTCTCAGCCATTACTGAGCACCTGGATCTCTGAGAATAAGAGCAAAGACCATTCTGCATTAGGATTTAAGAAGACTGAAGTCCTTTCAGTAGTTAGCCAGAAACCCGCTTTAAACTCCTTAAGCATGTAGGCAAACCATAGGCCCTAATATGAAAATTTTAGAATGGTAAAGTCTTACTAGTGTTATTGTCTGGCATCGTCCTACTCTTGAGGCTCAACATGTAGTTGCCTGTGGACTAGGAGAATATGTGATTGTTACATGGCTATAGAAGGCAGAGGGGTGCAGAGACAAGTCTAGGGAGGTGGGGAGGGAAATGAGAAAGAACTCTAAAAACAGAGAAAGAGATGAGATCCTGGCAGTGAGCAGAGAGAGAAAAGGAGCCTTGGGGAAATCATATAATTGTATCTATATAGGGAGATAACTGAGTTGCAGAGTTTGGATTCAGAATCAATCTGGAGATGAATTTCTGAGAGACAGACAGAGAGAGAGAGAATACGTGTGCACGGATATGAGGGGGGTTTCTGATCCTGTAGTGAAGTTTCATCCAACTTGCATACATATACTAGGAGCAGGGCATGATGTTTATTTCAATGTGGCGATGGTGTATTTGCTACTTTTATTTTATAGAACTTCTCCCCCTTAAATTACCAATATAAAAAAAAAAATAGGCCCCAGAGACTTTTTTTACTGGTCAAGAAAGAAAGGAAGAATTGTATGTTAGGGAAGAACTCCTGGGAAGAGAGTTAAGAGAAGGGATTTGACCTAGGAAAATAATTAAAAGGGAAGTAAAAGGTGTGGGAAGAACCTGTAGGAAAGACTACATACTGTATATACTTGTTCATAAGCCGATTTTTTTTAGTAAAAAAGGGAAGCACCAGAGAAGGGGGTCGGCTTATGAACGGGTATAGAGAGGGAGAGGTGGGACACAGCCCCTCTCCCCAACAGAGGGAGCAAGGAGAGACAGCACAGCCAGCACAGTCAGAAGGGAAGAGGTGGGGCCAGAGTCTCTCCACTTCTGGCCACGCTGTTCTCCCCCCAGCCTCCGAAGTAGCTGCAGCTCCGGGGCTGGCAGGCTGCAGCCGTGCTGCTAGGCCCCGCCCCCCAGAGCAGGCTGCGGCTGTGCTGCCCAGCCTGCTGGAGCAGCTCCAGCCAGGCCAGAGACATCCTCCCCTGGCCCTCCCCAGATAAGGTGGGAAGGGATGGGATGGGGAGAATGTGTGGGTCCCGGGCTATGGGTTGGGTCATGTGGGGGGTGTCACAGAGGTTACTCCCCTGACTCCCAGCTTCTCCCCCCAAAAAAATTTCCCCACCAATTGCTGTCCTGGCCCATCAGGATAAGCAGCTGGCGCGCCGGGACACTTTGTTTACTTAGGTTTACCTCGAGGCCTGCAGATGCTCGAGGTAAACTAACCATCTCAGGCTGGGAGCCAAAGTTTGCTGACCCCTGAATTATAGGGTCGGCTTATGAACGGGTCATAAAAGTTTTCCATTTTTACTTATCCAACACAGGAAGGTTATGGCATTGCTGGAAACAAACCCAAAGCTGTGCTTTCACCAATACATTCTTTCTGCTAAAGTAGGTAGGAACAGTTCTAATTTCAGTGGATCACACCTAACCTATTATTACTAGAGGCCCAAAAGTAATACAGTCTGAGAGGTCATTTTCTGAACTGGCTATTTGTAAACTTCAAACCAAGATTTAAATTGTGATGATGGTTTTTGTCATGTGGATATCTCTCTATTGGACACTGGACAGAGACCGCCAACATATATCACATTGGCCACTAAAATGCACCTGGATGCAATCCTGGCCTGAGTTATATTACAACTAGTGTGAGAGAGGAAACAAACTTTGTATCCTATTAACAAGTTAATGAGCAATTCAGTCCTAAGACCCCCGTCCTTAGGATTTCCAAGTTGCCATCCCTTATAATTCTGCATCTTAACTCTTTCTATTAATAATGGGTCAGATTCTAATTTAAATTATACTGGTGGAAATCTAGAGTAACAGTTGACTTCAGTGAAGTCACTCTTGATACACATTAGTGTAACAGAGATCAGAATCTGTCCGAGTGTGTCAAAGAGCTGAAAAATAGAGGATTTTATATTTCTACATCAAAGCTCTAAAATATATAACCTAGGGACAAAATCCGGCATGAAATGGTTAACTTACTGAGTTTTTTCATGCAGTCTCGAAGTCTGGTTTCTAAACTGAGCACCCTCTGGTGTAGTTCCTCATAGTCATAAGCACCAATTTCTTCCTGAATCCCAGTGAGAACTGCTGACAGATTCCTAATTTCCTCCTTGAACTGGGTGATTAACTTGGCATCAGTTTTGTACTGTTCCAGAACTGGGATCAATGGCAACAGCTCATCCATCTTTTCCTTCAACTCCTGCAAAAAGCAGTCACCTGGGCATTAGAGCAGCTTAAAGGAGTTCAGTCCCCTAACACTCTTTAATACAATATTTTGAACTGATTAATAAAATGACTTTAAAATTCTTATTGATATTAGTTTCAGATCCATTACTAGTGTATTGTGAAAGTCTAGCGAATTCAACAGTACGTGTTGGATAAAATGTAAAAGAGAATATTCAATTTCTACTGAAAATACAAAATTCATTTTTAAAAGATTGGAAACAAATCTGAGATGCGTCTTTCCCTGCACATGATACAAAACTCCTGTTGACTATATTTTTCTTGAGAAAAGGTGACCAGGACTGACCACACAGTTCGAGGTGAGGATATGACACTGAAATAGTGACATATTTTCACTGATTTTCTATTTAATTTTTATAAATACTAATATTTAATTTACTTTTTTTGACTGCCACTGCACTCTGAGCAGACATTTTCATTGATCTGTCCACAGTAATGTCTAGGTCTTTTTTCTCCTAAGTGGTTAGAGTTAAATTTAGACTCCAACAATGATATGAGAGATTCAAATTATATTGGCCAACGTGCATTTGTCTTTAGTGATTTTTCACTGCCCAATCAGTTTTGTTAGATACCTCTGAACTTCCTCAAATTCTTCTCTAGCTTTAACTAACTTAAATAATTGTATGTCATCTGCAAATTTTGCAACCACATCATTCTTTCTCTTTCCCAGACATCCCATACTTAAACGTTTGCCATGTTGAAAATTGACCATTTATCCCCATTTATTGAATGTTTGTCTCTTAGCCGTTTCTAATCCATAATGGCTATTTATCTCTCATACCATAACTATAATACACTTAATATCTTTTGCCAGGGAGTTTGTTAAAATAAGTCTTAATACATTATGGCAACTGGCTCTTGTTCAGCCACTAACATGTAGCTACCCTGAAAGAATCCTAACAGATTAGAGATTTTTCTTTTATGGAAGGCATGCGGGTTTATCCTTTTCAGATGATGTTCATGTAGATGTGTTATAATTCCATTGATAATTTAAGGAAACACAATGTGCCATTATATATTTATAATAACATTACAAGGGGTAAAGGTGAAAACTTTCGTGAAGTTGAAACTGGCTGAGCGGAATTATACTCAGACTTTCAGTTAAACTGAGAATAATAAATAACCATACTCTCCAAGTGAGCTCTTATTAGTATAATTAATTACTGAAACCAATTACTGTTCAGTGATCAGTACCTCTGAAAAATCAGAACCCACTCAGTTAGGTGCCACTCTTTTTGAAAATGTAAGCCTATGCTTTTATGTTTCAGCTATCATGAACACCTCAAAAGACATAATGTTAATACATTTTTTGTCTTTGGAATATATTTAATGGACCCTATCTTGCATTCCTTGCACACTCAAAATTCTCCATCATTAGGGCCCAGTACTTGCAATACTATGATATATGTCTGTAACATTGTCTCTTTAGTATAGTCCAGATGGCTTCCTAAGAATAGACAATAGCAGTTTCTAACCTCTAGCACTAGACTTCATGGCAGATAGGGTGGCTAAAGTTTTTGTTCAGTGAAAAATCACTAGGAAATTTAACATGGACATTTTTTCTTACAGCACATGTGGATTAGAGGGGAGGGGGATACACCCCAAAACCAAAATAACGAACTCCCCCAACCTCGAATCAGAAACTTTTAGATCTTAATGCTATTAAGTACCAATTACAATAACTTCCCTCATTATAAACTTTTTTCTCTTCAGTTCTACGAAATGTCAGACAACTGTAAAAGTGCAAAACCCTCTGGTCATTTGGTATTAATTCCCTGGCTTCCTCATTTATCACTAGTGCTTGACTGCATATAAATCTCTCAGTATGAACTGCACATTGATACAGTAAAATAGGATTCTGTTTATACTAACATTTCTCTAATGTCTTAATAATTAATGGTCACTCCTTATTGCAGTTAAACTGAATAGGAAAAGTGATTATCATAATAAAAGAGGTTATATTATGGTTCCTTTTCAACGTTTCTTTTGTATAAGCTTTTCAAGACGAGATCTTAGCAGTTCATGCATTGCTTTTTAGTGCATAGCTTGCAGCAAGCTTTCAAAATTATTATTAAAATAAAACCTACTTGAAAATGCTTTGTCATTAATGTCTTCCGATCATCTTCAATTTGCCGAAACTTAGCCTTCAGCCCTTTCATTTGTGTTTCCATTTTTAAAACATACTGGAAATCCCTCTGAGTCCGTAGGTTTAAAACTTCAATAGATTGGGACATATTCTGAACCTGTTAAAGAAGAACACTGGCTGCACTCTGTTTTTCTTTTTCTTGTATGTGTAGTTAAATGTCAAGTGATAAAATGTCATGCCTCTGTCAATGCTTGAACTGTTAGCCATTTTTTACCTCAGTGGAGCTTTGAATTCATAACTGTAGAACAATACAGAAAGTGGGCCACATTTTGGCCTTGGTCACACGTGTAATCCCACTGAAATCAATGGGATTGTTCCACTATAAATTAGAGGAATTTGGCCCAATGTCTTTACCCATCATATAATACCTAAAAAGAAAACTGTGCACTGAGTATTTTGACAATTCAGCAAGGGGAAGAACTGTTCCAGGGCAAGGAATCATAAAGGAGGTTTGGGAGTCAACATTCCCGAACAAAAGAATATAAGTACAGTATTCAATAAATCAGGAAAATCGGATATTGATTTGAGTTAACTTATAACTCCATGCCACTTCACTACTTAAACCAATTTATTGAGGATTTGGGGGTGTGCAGGAAGAATGGGGTAAAGTTTTGATCTTGAATTTAAATTTGTTTAAGCTTCATCAAGGATCTGAACTTATACTTGACAAATGAAATGCATGCTGCCACCCAGATAGAGTTTGTACTATATTATGCAGCACTTGCTGATTTTTTTCAAGTGCTGTGTATAGAGCATGTGGATCTTAGAAGCAATCATTTAGCCCTGAACATTGTACTACTCTACTAAAGAGAATGGGCATGATTCTGATCCTTTACGTAAATGAAAATCAGGAATAATTCTACTGAAGTCAGTGGAGTTACATGAGTGTGAAATCAGTGCAAGAGAGATCAGGGTCAGGGCCAGTGGGTCTCCTTTAAGAGATATGTACAACTTGGGCTTTTGATAAATATGAATACAAGTTTTGCAGAACCCAATATTTTACACTCTAGTGATGCAGTAGTTTAAATGTCAATGCTTTGGAAAAACATGGTCTTGGGCTTGAGAGTGACATTTACTCAAACTAAATTTTTAAATTTTAAGGAGGGCTACACCATTGTTTTTGGTGAGTCAGCAAAATACCCTATTTTAGGGCTTGATCCTGCTCCCATTGAAGTTAATGGCAAAATACCAGCTGACTTCAATGGAAGCAGGATTGAGCTTGTAAAATGCTAGTGTGTGTTAAAAAAGCTTTGAACTGTTTTCTTTATACATTGTGCACTAGCACTACTTTAACTATAAATATCTTTACTCAAAGTTATTTATGCATGCTTCAGAAATATTTCCTAACTCTGATACAGATAATAAGATTTATTAAATTGACACCAACATTATTACTACTAGCACATTCTTTAGACTGTAACTTCTTTGGAGCCGGAACTATCTTTTTTGTTCTATTGTTTGTACTACATCTAGTACAGTGGGGTCCTGGTCCATGGATTCTCTATCTATTGTAGAGGCATTCCTAGATCTACAATAGATTTCAATCCAGCAAAGCACTTAAGCATGGGCTCAGGTTTAAGTATGTGAGAAGTCCCATTGGAATCGTGCTTAGAGTTGGGCATATGCTCAAATGCTTTGTTGGATCATGGCCAGAGTGCTCACCTATCAGGTTAAAGGCTGTTAAGCCCTAAATGACTTGGACTATCCTGCTTGCCTCTTTCAATGCCATATTGCTGAAGATGGGATCAGCAAAGATCACCGTGCTGAGCCTTCTTAGTATAAAAGAGAGGCTGTTGGCTGTATCTATCCTTCATGATCATGAGCTTTAGAAATCACTTCCAGATCCCAGATCTGTTATCCTTCAGGATATGCTGCAAGGCACAACTTTTCCTCCAGCCATCTGAGGAGGGGATGGGTTGAGAGTTGGAGAAGTTTTTGTTGTTTGCTGTGGAAATCATTATTTTAATTGCTAGCATGTGTTTAGTAGGGTGGAAAGCAATGCATTACATTTGAGATTTTATTATACAATTCAGTAATATAACAGGTGGCCAGACTGTAGGATATGTGATTGTTTATAGTTTTATAAGTAGAAATAAAATAAATCTATTCAACTGTAAATCATTAATAGAAAAAAATCACTGAAAGATGAAAAGAAATGAGTTTCAAGTAACTGATTAAGCATATGTAGAACAAAAGATAGCCCATTTCCATCTTTAAGACAAAGACAACTTTAATTTGTATGTACTTTATGTATCTTTCATAAGTGTTCACTTTATAATAATCAGACAAAATATGTGGATGATACATTTCCAGACATGAAGCTGAAGCAGAACATTTTGTTGTTGTTTTTTCACAAAGTTTTGCATGTGCAATAATTTTATGCCAAAATTCACTTTAACTCATGCACACTAAATGGGGGAGGGGGAAGGAGGGAAGTACCACTAGAAAACATTAGGCCCAATCTTAAAGATCTTACTCATAACTTGCTCAGACAAAACCCCTTTTGTCCATCCAGTCTAATGGAGGTGGGAGAAAAGGGTGATATTCCTTCCATTCACTAATATATATAATCTTTGAGCTGTTATCCATAGTTTCAATTGGCACCCCATTGTGATGACGACTGTATCATACTGCATCTGGTTATTAGGATCCTGTAACATATTGTGGATCTGATACAGTTTGATTTTACTTAACCTACCACCTAGTTAAAAATACCTTAAAAATAGTGTTGATAGCAATGTAGATTAACTAGCAATAATCAGCCATACACATTTTTGCTAGAAAGTACTGTTAATGGAATAAATCCACATTTTTGTCGTCTTTTATGCTCCTTCTAATTATTGAAGCCAACAAAATTAATCCTTTCAGAGCAATGATAAAACTTGAAATGTTTCACTTTGCCAGATGCCACTTTCCCTCAGAAAGTGTAATAAACAGCAATGTGTGACTTTATTGATGTAGTAAAATGATGCTATGTACCCACATTTGCCATCATCTCAGTGAAAGAAAATAAGTTGTAGAGCTTAAGCCTCCACATAGAAGACTCCAAATTATCAAAGGGCTAGTTGTGAGAGGGTTGGTGCTATGGACTTCAAAAAAAAAAAAAAGAATTAAAACCTTATTTATGAGTATTTTAATGCTTGGAAAACATGCCAGAGTAAAAGCTCTGGAGAATGAAGCCCTCTGTTTATCAACATAAGTATAGCATGGGTCGCGCCAGCACATGCTGTCTACATTGCTTCATCACTGTGCCTTAACCTTGACCTGAAAGGACCTCCTCTAACAAAGAGAGACTCCAGGCCTTGGCCTTTCTTTTGAGAGAGAGCTTTAATTTTTTATGTCTGTTCCGAAACTACAGCCAGTGAATGCTGTGAAACTTTGAGGAATGAGACAACCCAGCTGCGGAGTGTGCTTGCAGCTATATGTTGTTAATATGAACACTGCTTAATGACAACCAGCTAGATTTTGATCTCATTTACACTGGTTTTAGATTGGTGCCTCATATGGACTCCAGCGGTGGAGTTACTTGTGATTTATACTGGTGTAAATGACACTTAAGTGAGTCCATATAGAAATGTTAAGAGTAAGGTTTTGTCTACACTACCACTTTTGTCAGTCAAGGATGTGAAAAAAACACATCCCTGACTGACATAAGTTTCACTGACAACAATGCTGGAGTGAACAGTGCTATGTCGGCAGGAGAGGCTCTTCTGCCAACATAGCTAACACCATTTGTTGGGGGTGGTTTAATTATGCCGGCAGGAGAGCTCTCTGATGCTGGCAAAGAATGGCTACATGTGAGACCTTACAGCAGCACAGCTGAAGCGGTACTGCTGTGCCGCTGTAAGGTCCAGAGTGTAGACATAGCGTTAGTCTGGTTTGATCTACGTTCTCTAAACTTGTCTTGGGTTTGATCCTAATCTTTTGTTCCAGCTGCTTGTGTAGCTCCTGTTGGGATACCCTCTGAGACCTCTTTCCACTTGGCTTCCCAAGAATTCAGTTAGACTCCAGACTTTGTCACTCAGGTATCTTTGTTTGTCATACAGCATCTCTAAAGCTGAGCTGATCAAGCTCAAACGTGGGGAGGGGTGTGTGTGGATGCAGGGTACATCACAGCTCCAAAGTTACACAGAAACTCTCTTCCTTTATATACATTACACATCTCATTGCATTTACTACACAGTGCATCAGACCTTTTTGGATTGGCTTGGTTACTTTGCAGGAACCAATTCCTGTGCAGCAGACACTGTCCATGCATTGTCCACGCTCAACCTCCTATTTACCTCATCTCTACATTCATCTCTACATCTCGTTCATTGTAATCTTGTTCCTAGTAAATGGTTCTCCCTTTTATCTTAGATGGTCCAGACATTCTGCTTTTTAGCCTAATGATCTGGTTACCTCTCAAATTCTATCTTCCAAGAAATGAGGCCCAGGCCAGGCCTCAGCTACAGCTCCTGCACAACAAAGTAAGTGAAAAGCCACCTTAATCTAGCTAGGTGGGATTTCCTCAGATTTAGAAGAATCCCAGAGTAACATAAACCATCAGAGCTGGCATAGGGGGTCACACCATGTGCTTAGCTGGGGAAAACAAAGGTGGTTGGAACATTGCTGCTCTCCACTGATCCCTGGCTGGTGGAATGTGGCAAGGGAGGATCTTGTCTGGCTGGCTGGCAGAAAAGGGGTATTTCTTCTTTAAGGGCTCCCCTACAATGGGTAGTAGGAAAGAGGGGGAAATATACAGTGATGAACAGGAAGGGCAGAAAGTAGCTGGGGCAAAGTTGGGGCGGGTCACTGCCCTTCCTACTGACCAGAAGAGTGGGAGGGTATTTATACCCCATGCAGCCCTGGAGAAGCCATCTTTTACTGGGTTGGAATGGCAGCACCCACCCAGCCACCCACGAAAAGTGCAAAAGGATGGGGTTTCCTCATGACCTGTTGTGGGTATTACACTAGGCACCCTCTTCCTTGGAGGCTGGGAAGGAATTTTTCCCTCATTGCCAGAATGGCTGAGGTGGAGTGGGTTTTTTCACTTTCCACACAGCAGGTCTGGGAACCAGTGGGGCAGAGCAGGGGGGGTTAGTATGTAAAACTCATGGCAGACGTCCAGGGCAGGTACTTGGTATGGAGGAGATATGGTTAATGGATACATTAGATTAGAAAATGATTTGAAGAAAAGCATCTCTTAAGGGAGCTAAGGAAAGCAGGGTTTGAAGGTCCTCTATCCTCTACAGCGGCATGCTGACCCTCCTCTTTTTTCTAGTCCCCTTTTAAGAAAGCTGAGGTTGGGGGGTTGGGACTTCTACATCTGGTACAGAGAGGAACTGACCCCTCTCCTTTTATAGTCCCATTTCATCTCAAAGGAGAGGAGGGTGGCTGAGTCCCACCAGTGAGACAGCAGGTTGGGGTTTATGTAGAAATGATTAAGGAAATGAGGATGACATGCACTGCACTATTTATTGCTCGCTAATCCAAGATATTTTAAATGAATAAAATTATGATCTAATTAAACCACGTCCATTGCCTTCTATCTTTCTTCTGACATGGCCAGACAATGGCTTATTGGTGACTATTAAGCAGCATGGGGGGCTGAAGTGGATTAAGAAATGATGGCTTAACGTTCTGTCTATATCTTTCATGTCAACTTCTAAGCCCATCCTGAACATGAGATCATGCTATAATTTTACAGAATTTGGTCACATGATATGGCATGGGCCCTGAGTTACATACACAAGCCAAGCTCCCACTGAAGTCCATGGCCTGCAGGATCTGGCTCCATATTGGCACTAAAGTGACCTAATACTCCAAAAATGTCTGTGAGATAGTAAAGTACTGAACAATTTGTGCTGGAAAATATGTTTTTAGCTCAATATTTGGTGTTGCTATCTGCCTTTAATGCTCTTTGTGGCCTCAGAGGCTATGCATCACCATTTGTTCTACAGTAAACAGAACTTGGTTACAGTGGCTCAGGGATGTCATAGCTGCAGTTTTTCCTCATTTTCTTATGCAATAGACATCAGCTTTTACGAATTAAATTTACATGCAGCTGTGAATAAATCTGAGGTGTAAGACTCTTTAGTTGTTTGGCAGAAAAACCACTGGATAAGCTGTTGGTGTGATTCAAGGGAATGAGCTTCAAAATCCTCCTATGATGGCGATGTGGGCACCAGATTGAATCCTGGTGCTTCTAGCTAGCTTGAACTGGAATTTGTAGCTACTTTTATGATGGCCAGTCTGTTTTGATACAGACATATAAACTATGGGACTCAGTTCTCTTAAAGGAATAAATCTGGGTGGAAGAAACAAGAGAGAAAATGCAGCATTAAGCTGCTAGATCAATGACAGATCAGCAGAGCTGTGTTGTAAAGAAACCAGATGAAGTGTGATTAGTGGTGGAAAACTGGGAAGGGGAAATAGAGAAATAACATTGATAGATAATCATTGAATGCTGTATTATTTATTATTTTAAAGAGGGAAAGGAGCAGATTACTAAGGAAGTCTTAGTAGACAAAAAGAAGGAATACATTTGGGAGACTTACCTTCTCTAGCAGTTGTCTAAGTTGCCTACTTTTGGCATCTCTGGAACATAAATTTTGTTCTGGTGCAACTACAGTACAAATGCATCGGCCATCTGGGTCTTGGGCTGAACTATACACTTGCCATCCTTCTTTGGGGCTAATTTGAGTCTATAGTAATAAAACAATAAGCAAAGGCAAAGAGAGTGAAATAGCTGATATTCATGAATGACTTTTTGGTTTTTCAAATTCTTTAAAACAAAATATCTATCTGTATATAGATATACACACACAAAGGAATTAAACCTAAGAAAATATGCTTGCTCAGTTACATACCATATGTGTTCACAATGATGTTCCTTTTAGTTATCTTTTATTATCCCCTTAATGGATGATTGGTAATTTTGCATTTTTCCAAAGTTTTCCATTATACCTGACTCCTTGTTAATAGTTATTTAGAAATGTTTGACAGCCCTGCTTAATTGCAGTCATCATATTCAGTCTGGATGAGAACAGTTTTGTACTTATGATTCAACAAAAGTGCATTGATTTCATTCCTTGTGGATAGGTGTTATAGTTTCCACGAACAAACAAAAAATTTGTCCTTTCTTACTGGATGACTTTTACTTTAGATTAAGGGAAACAACACGATAGAAAGGAACAAATATAAAGTCCCCATGAGAAAGCACAGTAACAGTATTCATGCTGACCAACTCTCAGGCCTAAAAACAAGTTAGAGGGGGCCCACTTTACTTTTAAAGATGTAGTACCCCAAAAACAGCCGTGCAGTTACATAGCTATAAACACCAACAGCAATAGAGAAGCCTCGGGGAAGTACAGCAAAGAATCTGTTTAGTTTAGATGAGAGGGCACAAAGTTAGTCATTAACACTGTAATGTATGCTGGAAATTCCTAGCACATTCTGCTTTCAGCAGTCATGGTAACACTGAAAAATTCTTCTAGTCTTTTTTTTTTTTTGCAGTGGTGATCAACATCCCAAAGCTCTATCTGCCTATTTCCCTAAATATTATATGATAGATTGAAAGAGTTGGTTGACATGCATTTAATAAGATGTATAGAAATGTACAGAAGTCAAGATGAAGGAAGGAAATAAAAAAACTTGACGATGGAGGAATTTCAGATGATATAATTAATTATAGAAGTAATGTTCTTGTGTATTGGATTTAGAGATGTCTAGTCAAGATAAAATTATGCTTTCTTCTTTTTATATCTAACAAATACAGTATTGGCTACTTGATTTCAAAGCTCAGATGCTAATGGCTGCCACCAGAATAATTTCATTTTGGCACAGTGTATGTGAGTCACCAGTTATATTATAAAAACAAGGTTAACATCAGTGCAAACAGTAATTATTAAAACTGGCAAGCATTAATATTGATGCTTACTGGACTAAGTAAAGTCAGCTATTGCATAGTTCATCACTACAGGGCAGATACAGTATCTCTCTAGAATGAATTTAGAATAAAAGGTGAAAGAGTATTCCCTTGGTGATTCTTCTCTGCATTTCATCTTAATGCAAGAAAAGAGAACCACCTCTTTTCTTCCAAGGGATTTCTGCTGGGGTCACTGAAGAAAGCAGTGACCTCTCCTTCTGTAGAGTTAATTGAAAGATCAAAACTGTAATATTCCCCTGTTTTGCTAGGAAAATAAAAGCCTGTAATTTAAAGAGATTGTAAATGGAGGACAGTTGAACTTGCTTTAGGGTTTGCTAGAAAGACTTATCTAAGGTTCATTGCTAAATCATGCCAGTTTTATGATGTTCTTCTAACCTTTATTTTTTTAGGGCACAGGGAATCTAGTTTAACAGAGATGGTGAACAATAAAATCTAAACAAAATTACAGCTGCAGGGACAATTTAAATTGGTTTTGAATAGCAAGTAATATTGTAAGCTTGAACTATTCAGGCTTGTCAAAGCAGTTAACCCTTACAATGTTAGCTAATTTTAGGTTGGTGGCTTCTATGATTTTCCATAGTCCTCATACCCAGATACTGATGTCATATAACAGTACTGAAACCTGAGGTTTCAGAGTAGCAGCCGTTTAGTCTGTATCCTCAAAAAGAACAGGAGTACTTGTGGCACCTTAGAGACTAATTTGTTAGTCTCTAAGGTGCCACAAGTACTCCTGTTCTTTTTGAGTACTGAAACCATAAGTTTATGTCAAAGTTTAGGAATATCTGCAGAATCCAATGTTAGCTCCTATCCCTTCTGAGGCACAGGAATACTTACTCCTAATGTACAGATACACTGCAATCTTTGGGCTTTATTGTGAGCTGATATTGGTATAACTCAGGAGTTACTCCATTCATATTTAATAAAGTTTCACCAGTGTAAAATGGATGAGACACCAGAATCAGGCCCAGTCTATAGTAAAAAGGATGTAATCCAGGTTGTATTGTCCAAACAGTCCTTTATATGTTGTGTTGAAACCACACATTTCAATCTCATTTCCTGACAAAAACCATGTTTACCCAGGCACAAATTTCCTTACAATGTGGTATTAGATGAAGAGACACTTGTACAATCATAAAAGCATTTGCCATTCGATTTTTTTTAAATGAGCTGCTCTACACTTGTGATGTATACTTATGTGACGTTATTGATATAATCTGGGACCATATAGATCATTGTTGCAACCAAGGTCCTGTAGTGGCACCCAAATCTTGTATAAAGGGGTCAAATGGGGTGTCTAAGACAAGTTTATGGTTTACTGGTTATGATTATGCTGTCTATATGTGTGTATCAGTTTTGTAGTTGAAGTTATGAATATTGGCTCTATACTGTCTGTATTGCAAATTTATGCTATGCTTCTGGGTGACATCCCAGACAAGCTGGTGTTAGCTCTGCCTAGCCTGCTTGATGGCCCATTACGGACCATCAGCTATACAATGGACCCATTGAGAGAAGGCAAATATGCCTTGAGACTCAGCAAAGTATGCAGGAACTGGCCCATGTGACTCCAGACTCCATTTTGCTGTAATTTTCCACAGTAAGAACAAAGAGGTGTTCTTACACCTGGAAAAGACTATACAAGGCTGATGCCTCATTTCCATTTTGTCTTCAATCCTGCTTCTTACCTCTGGAGGGACTTTGCTACAACTGAAGCTCTGAACAAAGGACTGATGACCCATCCCAGCTGGGGATGTTCCAGAGACTTGATTTGAACCTGCAGTTTATTCTGTCGCTGCTGCAAGCCTGAACCAAGAACTTTGCCATTACTGTATGTAATTGATTCCATTTAACCAATTCTAACTCTCATCTATATCTTTTTCCTTTTATGAATAAACCTTAAGATTTTAGATTCTAAAGGATTGGCAACAGCGCGATTTGTGGGTAAGATCTGATTTGTATATTGACCTGGATCTGGGGCTTGGTCCTATGGGATCAGGAGAACCTTTTTTCTTTTACTGGGGTATTGGTTTTCATAACCATTCGTCCCCATAACGAGTGGCACTGGTGGTGATACTGGGAAACTGGAGTGTCTAAGGGAATTGCTTGTGAGACTTGTGGTTAGCCAGTGGGGTGAGACCGAAGTCCTCTTAGTCTGGCTGGTTTGGTTTGCCTTAGAGGTGGAAAAACCCCAGCCTTGGGCTGTGACTGCCCTGTTTTTAGCAATTTGTCCTGAATTGGCACTCTCAGTTGGGCCCCGCCAGAACCGCATCGTCACAACTTATCACAATGAGAAACCCTCAAGCACATACTAGAAGTGCATTGTGATTGATTATCTATGCTTAAATGAATGATGATATATTACTCTAAATTTAGGCTCCATTGTTTTACTGTATTCTGTTTTCATTCAGTAGGAAAGAAGTTGCTGTCATGAGAGGGTATGGATGGAGATTATCTATCTATCTATCTATCTATGTGTGTGACTGTGAGTGTGATTTTTACACACACCTGCACTTTTATTTTATTATTTTTTTGTTCTTTCCCATTTAATCCCACCCTCAAGCAGAAGTCGCTCTGCTTCCCAGGGAAGGAGCTAGAAGGCATCAAAATCTTATGAAAGCTGCTGAATCCAAACCCCAAATGTCGGCTTACTGCTGACAGGTCTTAGTAAGTGGACGAAAAAAGAAATAACCAGCTTCCAAAAGAGGAGAAACAAAAATATTCATGTTAGTTCTTAACAATCTTATAGAAAGAGAAAGGAGCCCCTGCAAAAGCTAATATTTCATGTTATCTTAGAATAAAGGCAGCTGTGCTATAGAATTCCAGTACTCAGCTCCAAAAGGTTTCTTTTTCTTACACTACCAGATATTTCAATAAGAATATTATAGTTGTGTTCATTGTCACCACTGTCTGGGCAAATGCATTTCATTGCAATACATATAATTCCTATGACTAGTTGTGTATAAACACTATCGGCCAAATTTCCTTCTGGTATAACTCCACTGACTTCAACAGTTATTCCAGCAGAAAATTTGGTCCTATCTTTCCCCCTTTTTCAGCTCAGGTGAAAAGAAGTAGTTAAATATAAAGGAAATGAGGAGTTTTTTTCCTTTCTCTCTTGTACAAAATGTACAATTTTTCAAATTTTGTGTGGCCTGGGGAAACATATTTAGAAAGTTTTATACATAGCAAGATTCAATTTGAACTGCAGATTGCTCATGAATGTATGTTGGTGGATTTCTGAGGATATGTTGGCAATATATGCCCAGGTGTCAAGGATTAGTACTCAATTCACAGTATATAGTGCCTTATCTCAGAATGCTGCATTTTAGAAATTACATGCCATAGAAATAAGAAGACTCTATAACAAGATGGATAAAGCAGAAGAAATTATCTTGACTATGATACTCTAAAGAATATGATTATTTCCCACCATACGAATGTTACAAGGCTGTTCTGCTTTGGATATAAGGCTTTTATCCCTGTGTGCCAGCTTCACTGACACTTCTATTACCTCACAGCTCACTAAGGCATGAAACAAGTATGGTTGCTCCATCTTAATGAGAGCAAGCAGCGTAATAACAAAGCCTACATGCTATGGTCCAGAGCCTCAGTAGGTTTAAATGAGCAGAACTTCACTTGAAGTCAAGGAAGATGTCAATTTACCCTAGTTCAGGATCTATCTGCAAATTATATATATAATTATATATATATGTGTGTGTGTCCCAGCTAGTCAAGCACAAATGTATATTTGGATTAAGGGATCCATCTGACTTGTGGGTGTCAGTAGGATTTAGAGACATGCCCCATATAGTTCAGTGTGAAAATTAGTTATATTTTAAGAAAAATTCAGGATTTCCCCATTCCCCCTTAACATGGTGTTGTACTAAAATAAAAACTCATTTCTTTAGGATAACAATACAATGAATTAAAAAGTAACAATATTAAAAACTTTGTATGCAATATTTTTTTCCTATCCACATACAATCAGATAATTAAATATCGATCAGTTAATTAATCACTTTTAGCTACAACTGAAATTCAGTCCTGAGAATAGTAAGCTGTTCTCCTCTGATTTCATTTACACTGAAATTACACAGATAGGGTTTCTCAAATATTTGGTAGAATACATTTTGTTCCAACTCCATTTGCTCTTCTACAAATGCTACTGTAAAGGTCCTTGAGTTCACCTGTACGATTGAAATATGAATCTAATTTTTAGATTACACATAGAAGTTCAGAGAAAGAGTTAATAACACTTTTTTTCTTTAGTTCTACATAAACAGAGACTGCGGTATGTTGTGTTAAAATTTACTGACATCTGAACATCAAATACAAGTACTGGAAGATTTTAACTAATCTAACTAATAATTCATCATCTCCATTATTTCCTAATCAGCCTGCATAAAAGTCCTGTGGCCCAACTGAAAAGCACCTATTTTCTTTTCTTGTTAAAAGACATTCCTTTGCTTGACTGCTCTGCAAATTAAGAAAAGAAACTCTGTGGCAATGCTACAGAGTAAGATAGACTGTAGGTTTCTTTTCAGTTATTCTATAATACAACAGTATACATTTTCTGGAACAATAAATATGGAAACAAATCTATGCTAAAGAAACAAGATATTTTAAACATTTCATACTCAAAAAATGAAGCCGTTAGTTCTTAAATACTTAATGAGGCTATTTTTCAAAAAGTTTCCCTTGTATAGTAAGTCTGTAGCATCCACACAAATGCTGTGCAGTTTGACGTGTCCAGACAGAAGCATGCAGTAAGTTACAGCATAACGATTAATAGCTTTAAAAGAGATTTACAAAGAGGCAACTTAAACCATAGCCTTGTGGTCCCTTAAAATATCAGTTCAGCATGAAGATGGCTTACAACACATCAGAGCTACTTACTAGAGTATCTGAAGTGGACAGTCTGGTGGTATTTAGTCCTACCAGAGATGGAAGAGTTTGGGACATCCAGTTAGAGATCATTGCCATGGTACTAAGAACAGCACCAAGCTTGAGCAGTGGAGGACTCATTGCTGTGGAGATAATGAGTTTTCATAGTGACTGATTATCATCCTAGTGCTGGCTGGCAGTGAGAGGCGTGACTGCAGCACTCAACATCCACAGCATGAAAGGAGATCAACCTCCCCAGATTTAATCATCCATTAAAAACACACACAGCCTCCCCCAGCTTCTGTTCTTCTACTCTTACAAACAGATACTTCAACAGACTGTTTTATACTGACCACTAAGCCAGATAGTACTTTGTATCTACATTCATCTCGGTTAATGGTGGGAAGGATTATTAGAAAGGCCAGGAAAACACAAAGGCTGTCATTCTCAGAAATTACTCCAAAATCAGTGAATAGCAATTTTAGGAAACAGTCACTTAAATTATCAATATCAATAACTCCACAGTTTGCAAAGCTTATTATTACATGTTCACAAGCAGTACAGAAGTAGAGTGACTGAAGAACAAATAGTTATGCTACTTTTGGGAAGAGGAACAGAAAATAAATGATATATGGTTCAAGTAGGGGTAAGGGAGTTACTGATTCCTTAAATCTGCTTCAGGGTCTTCTGTTGTCTAATGTGATACAATGATTTCTAAATTCAGTGGCAGCTTGTACTGATTTGTAGGGAAGTCATAAAATAGAAATAACAGAACAAAAGCTTGTACCACAAATTGTGCAGTATGGGTAATTGTTATGTGTATAGTATATGCATTTTGAAGATGTCTCTAAAGAGGGTAGGTAGAGCAAGTTTTCTTAACAGTATTTACTTGAAGGAGTACTTGGTGAAAAGTTTATAGGAGACAGAATATTGTATTTGTTCCTAAGGTGAATGCTGGAGTTTGTTTCAAAATTTACTTCCTCAGAAATATATTTTTCTTAAACAATTTTGGCAGGTGATATGAAAAAATCCTCAAAGCAATTGAAAAGATACATATTTATATAGAAGAGTGGGAGCTCATGAATGCATTCACTGGAATTAAGCTTTCTAAACCTCCAGAAAAGCTTTTGAAATTCTCAGAGCTTGTGTTCCAAATTCATGCTAGACTTCTCTCTCCCAAATGCTCTTAAAATGATTTCAATCAACCTGTTACTTAACCAAGAAGTACAGAAAATCAATCATTGTCTTTTTAAAATCAAGGTATACAGGAAAAAACACATTGAGAGCTACTATATAATCTTATGAGGGACCTTGTGGCACAAAGGCTCAGCAGCAAATACAAGAGAGATAGCATGCATCTAAATCTTAACTACTTTCATGGAATTGCACACTAAGCTAAAATGTTAAGTTTCAAAATATTGAAAAAAGTGTTACTGAAGAGTGCATTTAGAGATCTGTGAGGTTTTAGTAAAGCAAGAAACACCTAAAGCAAAAATCCTTTTGAAAGATGCATGTCTAGCAAATCAACAACAATTAACAGATAGTTTAAAATGTGAGGCAGATTGTAGGTTTACTTATTTAGGAGCCACTTCAACACAAATGATAAAATATTGAATGTTGACAATTTTACCCTGTATTGTTTATTAGGCATGATAATAAAAGGTCTAAGTATGAAGAGTTTTTGGTGCCCCCCTTTTTCAAGTATTATAACTACAAAAAACATGACACCACTTATGGATTTATATATGGGTTTTAGGTGGAAGATCATAGTATTTTACACACATTAGATAGAGTGGGTAAAATCCTGGCCTCATTTAAGTCAATGGCAAAACTCCCATTAACTTCAATGGGGCAGGATTTCACCTGTCTGTTATCTAAGGATCTTAAACTGCTGTACAAACATTAATTATAATTCACAATGCTCTCTGAGGTAGGTAACTATTTTACAAATGGGGGAAACTGATATAAAGAGGGTAAGTGATTTGCCCAGGGTCACACAGTAAATCAGTGGCAGAGATGGGGGCACAACCAAGGACAGCTGTCTTTTGTGCTACCTAACAAATAACACTCTCTGCTCTGTTGTGTTTGACTTTTGCCATGTGAACTAGTCTGCCCTTAACAAAATTTTGTTGGCTCTCATGATTTTTTAGATACCTATTCTGACTATTCAAATGAAATGAGCCTGATTTTGATCTTGGTTCCACTGGTTCCACACTAGTGTAACTCTAATGGCTTCACCTAATTTGCCCCAGAATTTATGAGTGCAGAATCAGCCCCAATGGGTCAGTTGTATTGTATATTGATTTGTTCTACATGGTTTCTGTTCAACAAATGCTTTGCCTTAGATTAAAACTAATGTTAATGGGTTGGATGCTCAAATGTGTCAAGTAAAGGAGGAGGCAAAGGTGGCTCTAGGTTACCCCTACTTCTTCCCGCATCTTGAGGGCAGCTGGAGATTGAACCAGCCACCGGATACAGACAGAGTAACCACAAGGCTTTTCTAACTTAAGCTTCCCTAGGGCTCAGGATTACCCCTCTGGTTCTAACATACCTCTGGAAGGCCTTCTATGGCATCAAAGCTGGGGGCAAGGGTGTGCTGTAAAGGCCCTCTATACCCAGGGGTGATGGAAAAATGTTTATAGTTGGGGTGCTGAGAGCCACTGAACCAAACTGTTAAACGCTGTATATTATGGAAACCACTTCAAGCCAATGGGTTCGGTAGCACTCCCAGCACCTTTAGTTCCAGTTCCTATGACTATGCCACCTTTATGCCAGCCTGCAGTGGGGAGAGTGGGGATCCTCAGCTCCCTAATTAAGGCAGCTTTAAGTCCCATTGGTTTCAGTGGATTGGTTCCAAAGGGTCATAACCAAGGCCAAAGGTCTGACACTGATGTGTCTATCATAGTTATATTTATAGAAGAATGTGTAAAGGAATGGATCTTTCAAGAACTTGTGGTCCTTTTTATACAACTACCATATCTAAAGGAATGGTCAACAAGTGGACTCAAGGTTTATTATACTGTTTACGCCACATTCTGCTAAGAAGAGGAAGTTTTCACCATCTGTAATACAAGCTTTGATTGGCTTCCCACAAACTGGATGGTTGTGCTGCCTTAACATATTAGCCCTATTGCCATTCCTTATATTGCACTGCTGATGTCCAAAGAGCTGCTGCTTCTTTTGCTCATGCTGATGCTACTGCACACTAATATGGGACGAGATGCATACTCCTATCTTCACACAAAAAGAGATGATCAGCCAACTACAATTTCTCCCTCCACAACTGGAAAAAGCAGTAAACGCTACAATTTTCTACCTGGAGCCGTTTCTTGATGTGGACTTTTCCTCCATTTCCAACCCAACCTCAAACAAATAAACTACACAGAACCACTTCTTCTACTACTATATTTCTCCAAGACATATAGAGCTCATAAAGTATTTAAAATTACCTGTACTTGGCATATGAATGTAGGTGCCCGATGTCTGCACACTTATTTATCCAGAGGACTTGTAAGATCACAAAGACACCATTCTCTTTACCCTTCCTTCCCCTTTCATAGATCCCCTGTTACAGTGATCTTCCTTTCAACAGATTTGGGCTGAGTGTGTCCTCCCTCTTCTGTAAGTATTCATCCCACCCTCCACCACAGGAGCTCTCTAGACATAGGTCCAAGACACTCCTTTCCTCAGGGCTGAGCATGCAACCGCCAATGTTTCCAGCCCCAGTTGCTCTGAGAAGACTGACTTTGAATTCAGAACCCAAATGCATTCTCCTTGCATCTCTGGGAGTGCAAATATTTTTGCTAGGATTGGGAGCCAGTAAACTCTGATCCCAGCTCTGCCACTGACTCTCTTTTGGTCATTTAACCTCTCTTTCCCTGTCTGTAAAATGGGCTAATATTGTATCATGGATGCCATGAGAACCCATCAGTTAATGTTTGTGAAGTCTGTTGAAGGTGAGAAGAACTATATATCAGTGCTTATTATTATTACTATGGCCATCTCCTTCCCCTTCCTAGTTTTAATATTCCCCTTTGAAAATATATAAGCTCCTTGTTTGGCAGGTTTCCGAAGACTGAGAGGCGGCACACACTAAATTACATTAGGCAAATTAATCCAATTTCTGAAGAGAATCTCCTGGGGATATCTGAGTCGTGTGAAACCGAATTAGGAAAATGTATTTCAGTTGTGAAAATTTGCTTGAGTTGAACTATTCCAAAAAGTCACAGTAAGTTATTTGGAAAGGACCGACTCACTCCTTACTCATCTGACATAGGATTTATTCTTAACCAAAATTCCACTTTGAGAGAAGGCAGAAAACTGGCAGCAGTAAAATGAGAAAAAATATCAAAGTGTAAAAATATAGAACATTTATATATCTTGCTTGTAGCTGAATCAAAATAAATATCTGAAAGCTATTGCTGCAGTATACAAAGTGAGTTTTAATAACTGCAAGAGCACTGACCCTCATCCACCCTTTTTTACCTGTCAATGCGTCTGCTACTTTGCTCAGAGGTGCAGGTGGAAATTTCCCACAAACAGAACCTCACATTGCAATGCAAAAGGCCTACTTATGAGCACGCAGATATTCAGACTTAAAACAAAAGAGCCATGTTATACTGTTGGATAAAACAAGAAAATCCCAAGCCATTTGGGACATTATGCCAAGGACATCTTGGGAAGCCTTACAATAAAAAATACATTACATCCATAAAAAGAACAGAAGAATGTGAATTGGTCCTTTACTAAGTTAAGAAGTACACTTTCAATATAAAGTCATTTCCTTTACTGAGGCCCACACATAGCTCACATTATGATGTACTAAAGAGAGAGAAACCTGACAGCAGATTTCTTGAGATAATTTGGCTGCTCCAGATGCCAAGACAATAGTGTGAAAAGGCTGTATCATCAGCTTTCAAAAATGTTTATAGTGCAACTAGAAGTTCTGAGCTCAAAGATCTTTAAGATCTCCATTTGGTAAAATAAGACAGAGTTTCAGAGCCAAAGGAATTGTGCATGTAACTTACTGGAGAGTGTGTGTTACAGGTCTCTTTAGCTCAAGCTGTAGGAACTTGTACTTTTTGCTCTGGAGGTCGCTGAATTATGCCCCGTGTATCAGCCATGGTCATCACATAACCACG